CTGGCCTCTAACTCCTGGGCTCAAGTGATCCTTCTACTTCAGTTTCTCAAGTACCTGGGACTATAGGTATATGCCCCATGCCCAGTTTTAAAAGTCAGTTCTCAAAGTGGCTGAACTAGCTATTTGGGAGTAAAGTCTTAGAATTTTACACTTGCTAACATTATGCATAAAATAGCAATTACCACCTTCAGTTTTTTGGTTTTTTTTCGAGACAGTGTCATTATTCGTCCTCTGTAGAGTGCTGTTGTGTCATAGCTCACAGCAACCTCACATAGCTCACAGCAACCTCACTTGAGCTCAAGTGATTCTCTTACCTCAGCCTCCTGAGTAGCTGGGACTACAGGCGCCTGCCACAACACCTGGCTATTTTTTGTTTAGCAGGTCCTGGTCGGGTTTGAACCCACCAGCTCTAGTACATGCAGCCAGCGCCCTAACCACTGAGCTACGAGTACTAAGTTGACCAACTTCAGTTTTAAATCTACTTGTATGTCCATTTCCATCCAGGGTTTTCTCCTCATTGGACAGAAGCTCTAACAAATAACACTTACATGGGTCTCTTATCATCTAAGGCAATAATCACCATTAAGCAATCTGTGTAACCCTACAAATTATAATAACCAATGAGATTATATTTGATGGTCAATCTTATTCTTCTATTGATAGGAAAAATTTATAGCTCCTACAGACCTTGGCTTTGTTAGTTTATCATTTGGTAGCAGTCATTAATTAAAACACTGGGACTGCTGAAACCCAGGCTTGACAGTAGGAGGGAGTTTATTTTTCCTAAGAAAAGAGAGGGCTGGAAGAATAAGAGGTTCCTGATGGTGGGGACCTTCACAAAGAAACAGGAGGTGCTGCGACACCACAGGGGACAAATGCACGGACATAGCAGCTGTGCCACAATTCTGTGAAAACAACTGGCTGGGTGAGAAATGCAGGGGAAGTGTTATTTGGGCAAAAACTAAAAGAAAAAGGCAGTAGAGTTGGGGAAAGATTCCGCACCAAATGTTTCATTTCAAGGCGGTAGAGTAGGTAGCCTCCGGCCGGCTCACTTCAACACTGATGTGGAGTGAGTGTCCTTGTTATATACTCCAACCCCGATTCCAAAGGCAAGAAGAAAAAGAATTTTGAACAGCCATATGTCCTGACCAAAGTCCAATTCCCCTCTCCTTCTGTTCCTTGTTCTGATTGTTCTTTGGTTCACATCCCATTTATTCTCTTCTAATATGTTCACTTAAGCAGCTTCGAGCTACATGTTGACCGAGGAGCCTCCTTTCAGAACCTGTTGAGTAATGTCTGCCTTTATTTTAATATCCCACCCCTGATTCTTCTTAGATCTGGAGGCAGGTCATCAGCCTCTCCACAGTTCTCTGGCTGTCCCTCCTTGGTGACCAATACTTCTGTGTGCCCAAAGGGGGTGCACTGATGCTCATCTTGAGTTAGATTCCTCTAGTCTGGGCCATTAAACACCATGAGCCCACAGCAAGACCAAGCCAATGTCGATACAGAAAAAGTTGGTCACTGCATTTTCAAAAAGAAGCATGCTTTGAAAGAAAGCAGTCAACTACTGCCTCCAAATCAAACATTGTACAGAACTTGCCTAAGTGATACACTGGGGGGGATGGGAGTTGCAGGCTAATTACAACAGAGAAAGCCACATCTCACAAGGACACTTGAATGGAGGGTGATGGGTGATTAGAAATGAAAAGGATGGATGGAGAGACACCAATGGACTATGTGTGACCACAATAATGATAATCTATACAGAGGAACACAAATACTGAAGCTTGTGTAACTATAACTCTTAAAAAAATGAAGAACTTACCAGCAGCTTGGAAAGCTACAAAAATAGATTAAAAGAACAAGAGTTCAGTACACTGATATGGAATATAGTTATCAGCCATTAAAAAGAAACTCATTTTGTCATCATACTTCCCCTGGGAAGTTCAGAATTTGGGAACAGTAAGTAGGAGGGGATTCTGTATACTTTTATTATGGCAAATATAGTTTCAACAGAGACAAATGCAGAAGCCAAGTTTTACATGGCTCTGACAACAGAAGGGGACTTTTCCACTGGCTTCACCATGGGTACAGGAAACGGTTTTATAGGTACATTCCCTTTTAAAGATGTTTTAAGTAACAAAATCTACCCAAATATATAGGGCCAACTTCAGGACAAATACCCCATCAGCTCACCTGAATGTTGGTGGGATCCTTATATGACTCATCACTTGCGGTCTGTAATTTTTCACTGATCCAAGCCTCGATCTCATCCACATCTCGGCTGAACTGCTGGAGGGTTTGAGACTCTCCTAGCTTTGACCTTTTCTCAATCATCTGAGCTTTCAGACGTCGCCACCTGAGAGAGTGAAACCATGAGACCAAATGTTAATGTACTTTACCATGGAGGAAGAAGCGGGAAGATGGAGGAGGCCAGGGACCCCATTTGAGAGGGCATATCCTTTAGGGATTGGTGAGTATGTCAGCACCACAGGGTACCCACCTGTCCAAGACCTCATTACGGCGGCTTGAAATGTCTCCTTTGGCATAGTGACCAGCAGCAATAAGCTGGTCGGCAAAGGACTGCAGAGCGGCAATCTTCTCTTCCTGTTGACAGACAAAGGTGTAAGGTGAAGGTGGGCCTGCAGCGGGCCTTGCCTAGACTGCTAGCCTTGAGAAGAGGATAGCTATTTTGGGTAACTGAGAACTAGCTGGTGACAAGATCAGAATACACCGAAATTTTAGAAGCAAGCGTGTAAAAAGCCAAAAGAAAGTTTGATTTCAATCATTACTAGAGTCAAGTTTAACTCAAGAAGATCCCCAAGGTCACCCTGGGGTGGGGTAGGTGCTGGAATACCAATGGATACCACACAAAAGATCAAGCTTAATAGGAAAAGATTCTCAACAAAACAGTTTATGTATCAAAGACTTATATGCTTTTCTTGACGTTTATGTTTCTGTACTCCCTTACCTACCCATAAATTTGTTTTCTCTGCCTTTACAATAAAATACTTTTTCTTTCTTTAATTATTTTTTAAAAATTTATTTTTTTGGCTCGGCGCCTGTGGCTCAAGCGGCTAAGGCGCCAGCCACATACACCTAAGGTGGCGGGTTCGAATCCC